TAGAAATTCCGGATGAATACCGTCTTTGCCCGGAGACTTTTTTGCACTTTAGCTGTTTTATCGCAACATTAAGTTCGCAAGATCTGAATGGTTCAGTAAGTACATTATTTGGCGTTGCTATGTCTCCCTTAATTTCACCAAACTGTCTTACTTGTATCTTTAAATCTCTTGAAGATTTTCTGACAAAAGGGTTTTTCTTTTGCTTGTGGGAATAGAACCTCGCAAAGCAGTTAGTTATTTCGAAGTCGGTGGTAAGCAGTTTGTTGTTTAAGCTTATTGGTTTCTTCATGGGTCTTTCCATGTTATTTTGGAGGTTACCCAAGAATTTGAAAGTGCGTTAGCTATCACTTTGATAGTTGATATTTGAGATGAACTTGTCGAAGGAAGTCCGTTTTGCTTGTAAGATGGCTTGCTTTAGGACATCTGACTGCCGTCTCCAGACTTGTACGTTTTCCGTTCTTCCAGTCTGATCAGCAGTGTTACGAAGGTCGTCCCGCTTTCTTTTCAGTTCCTCAAGGTGTCTAGACCAAAACACTCGATAGTGTTTAGTTTTGCCTCGGGGAATAGTTTTCTTTGCACATCTGATAGCAGTGCAAAGTTTGTCAGGATGTTGGTGGAAGTTGAGGGGACTTGATTGAAGTTCATCCTCTAAAAGGTTAGTGAATCTAGGCCAGTCAGCCTTCTTGAAGTTCCATGATAGCTTAGTTGGCACTTTCCTTGACATGCTTTTGCTGCCGAAGGTAATACTAGTAATGACTGGTTTGTGACCAGAACCAGGATCGTCAATTATTTTGCTGCGTGTATGCTGATGTCGCTTGAAGCCAGGAGCAAGTCAGGAGTTGTTCTGGTTCCATTGTAGTGTAAATATGTAGCAGGATCCTCATTGCTATAGATAAGTTCCAGAGGGTTGCTGTTTCCAGCTATGTTTGTATCCTTGTAGCCCCATCTGGTGGAATGGGCGTTGAAGTCGCCTAGTACTACAGTTTTGTGTGAGATGTTCAGAAAATCAAAGTTGGGACTATTTTGGGGTAGATTATAGATAGGATATATCTTGAATTGGTTTTGACATTTCCAAACATTTAATCTGATTATTTCGCATATGTCTTGTGTCGAGCCCATACTCTTGATTAGATCGCAATGTGATGGGAGGTCTTCTTTTACTTCAGTCAGAATTCCACTTGCAACTTGCCGGTATTTAGATAGAAGATAGAGGGCGTAACCAGGGAATTGGTAGTATTTCAGTTTGTCATCCGAAATGTTAGCTTCCATAACTGTGAAAATGTCGACATCATAGGTTTGTAGGATTTTCTGTACTTGGATCTTTTTGTCCGGAGACATTCCTCCAGCATTCCACTGGAGGATCTGAAGACGTTGTGATTCGCCCTGACAAGGGCGATTTCTCTTCTAGCCTTGTTTCAAGCTAATCATAATTAAAAGAAGTCAAATCAAATGCTGAGTGATAGACTTTTTTGCCGTAGAAGATGCGTTGTCCAGGGTGCACCACGTGGAGGTAAGTCTATCGTGCACCCCTTTTTACTAAAAATTGTGGCATTGGATTTCGCTAATTTCCTGCCACTTCCCACTTTTTACTCTAAGGCGTGAAAAAGCTGGAGGGCAGTTGAGAAGGATTCGGACGTACCACTAGCTTCCTGTAACTGGTGGTGTTCGACGATCTTTGCCTACGAGATTCACATTGTCGTTTCCACTGGAACTGGCGGTAGTTGATCATGCTACCATTCTTTTATATTTTGAACTGTGTATTGCGCTCGATTCAAAGCAATTCAGCGATAAGAAGAGAAATATTTCAATTAAAATTAGCCTCACAACTAAACGTTACAAGTCAAAGTCGGAAGAGAAAATCTATATGATTCGAATTACTTAATGTTCTTGCAAAACTCCCTCTTCAATCTACAAGAATTTCTAAATAAATGAGTGGCTTTGCTATTTTTATTATTTCAAGGTTGCTTATTGAGCTTTGCTAAGTCCAGTAAGAAGCGATAAATCTAATGCTACATCGGTTATAAGGCTGGGGGTGTTACCAACACGTAGACTTCCCCAGAACTGATTCCTGAAATTTAAAAAAATGAATCCCATCTTCTGTTCATAAATTTCTTCCCATTTTGCTTCGAATTGAAAGGTTAATTTATCAAATAGACGAAATATTAAATAAATCAAATATATTCAACTATCCAGAATCTTAGCTGGCTATTCTCATGCCTTTAACTATATGTATGCATTATTAAAGCTTTACTTATAACTTACAAGTAGTGTGCATATATGAACTCTTAATACAGTGAATGAGCTAAAACAGATGCAACAATTTTAGTACATATCTACTGAAAAATTCAGCAAATTTATTCTAATTTAGGAATTTAATTTCACACATGAATCTAATATTTCAAGACGAAACAGTACCCAATTTTCTTAAACTACCTACTTATTTCTATTCAAGGTGTGCTTCTTGTCACATCCTTGCCACTTCAAATTCGAAAGCGAATTCAAATTTCTTTAACTTCAGTCCTCCATCTTTGGTCGGAATTAGCGATGAAGCAGAAGAGTGTGAGACATATCAAAGAGTTTTAAATTATTGAGCCTTTAAGTTGAAGTAATTTTGGCCAAGAGGTAAAAAATACTACTTTGGGTTCTTAATCATGCTCTAGCACCTGGACTTTCAAAATAGGAAAAAACGCGAGTGGCGTGGAATAGAAGTGCATTTTGAAGTTGAGAGTTTGTGCCTGAACTCAGGTTGCTGTGATTTGATCTCTGGGCTTTTTGGGTGGGCTCGTGATCGCGATATTTTGAAAGCACTTGCAAGTAAATTTAGCTGAATGTTTGCCCATGGCACATTAATTCACTTAATTTTTCCAACGAGTGCTTTCCAGTCAATACAGTTATGGTTATTGTTACGTGCAAACTTCTTTCGAAAATAAGGCGAAACAGGAAGAAAGGCCTACACAAGGTTGTGGCTAAGTCAAAACAATTAAGACAACGGAAAAATATTGGTCTGATTAGTTTCCATCTTGAAAAGATTAAATTCCGACCTCATGTAAATTCAAACGAAAATAATGAAGTGTGTAGCTGCCAATAGTGCGTATATATTTACGAATGGATAGCAATGATCTTTCATTTTCGATACGATCACTTTCCATCTGACGCAACGTTTCCAACTTTCTGGTTTGTCTAAGTCTTGCAAAAGATACGGTCGATTAAAAGGTCATATATCAAAAAATCATCCTCAAATTTTGTGCTGACTTCTAAGCAAGTTTTTCTTGAAACAACTATTGAAACAGAGCTAAAAGAGTAAAAAATTACAAATTCCATGGACCAGATCTCTGCCAATTTCCCGAAAGTATGAATTAATAACTACGATGTCCTTTTCCGAAGTGGTACAACCGCTGCTAAAAGGATTTAAAAATAGTATTTTCAATTGAAATCGCTCTAAAGATCACTAATTTTGAAAAGATTCGATTAAGTTAACGCTTTCCCCACTGTAAATATTAGTTGAACAAATTCAAAGCAGTAACCCGCAAAAGTGCATACACATAAAGGTGATTTGGTTGAGGTCAACTGAGGCCGTACATTGAGAGATCTAAGCGCGGACGCCTGGCACGGCATTTCCTTAGGACTTCGACCACTGGTAAGTTGTCTTCTGACGCTATCTCAACTTTGCTCGTGAAAATTTCCAGTTGATCTAACCTTCTGTTTGATTGGGAAAATATTGACTTTTTAAAGAATTGTGCTTTTGTAAAGGCAAACTACGTTTTATTTTGCCATGGTTCAAGTTAATTTAGCATTTATTTACATATTTTCTCACATTTTCCTGAACTATTTAAAATTACGCTCACCCATTTCGTTTCTGAGTTCATTTTGATTTCCCCATTACTACAACCTGATAATTTGTTATTCAATTAAGTCCATGTGACACCAATGATATGATTTAAATGGAATAATTCACTTGAATAGAAGATAGCGTTACAGAAGTGATTTGCCGATGTGGCATGCCCGCCTTCAATACGATATTTTCATGGTTTTTTGGTGATGCTAGCAGATGTTGATTACAAAGCGAGGGATTTGCATTCACTAGCTCTTTTTATAATGCCATTCAGTTCAAATGTGTCTGAATAGATATGAAATCGTATCCCGAATGAACCCGTCGTAAAGGAAGTGGTGTTGGTATCATAACTATCATAGGAGTTTCAATAGTTGACAAAACAAGCAGGATTTTTCCTACTAATTGCTCAGGTTTAGAGGTGATATTAGACGAATAAGTTTTCGGAAACCTTTCGCATGTAGATTTTTGGCACATGTGCGCGCAGATTCCAGAAGTAATTTAGACTCTTTTCAAGCCCCTTAAACCCCCCAAAGATGTTTTACTCAAACTTTTACTTTGTCACAATGAACCCGCCTCAGTGGGTAACGCGCTTTGCATGCCCAATGCTTTCACGTTTTCATTATAATCATCCCAGTAGCCAGTATATTTTTTATTGCAAATAAAATTGTGAATTAGCATAGGAGAATATGCTCATTCAAAATTTTGTAGATTAGCTAAACAATTGGCACAATCAAAACCACAGCTACAGCATTATTAGTACTCATGGCGAGGTAAGAAATCCTTTTCCATATTTATTTGTATTTTTAATTCAAATAGAGGGCCAAGGAAGGTGTAGAAGTTGAAACATGTAGTGAATACTATACACTAAGCTCTTGACAAACTTAATCATGCGGACAAATGTTACAAGCTTCGAACAGACTTCTTTAATATAAGTTGCACAAAGTAGCGAAAAGCTAGGAGGTCGTGTGTGAGGTCTTCGCTGAACATACTTTGTAATTCTGAGTACAAATAACGTTACACACCACAAATAGTGGATGCTAATTGGCTGGGTAACCTTTACACGTACACCATGCGTGGAAGATAATCGTGTGTTCTTCTCAGAAAGTGCTATTGCTCGCGAGATCTCTATTCCGAGTATAATTGAAGCGAGATCCTACAAAAGCTTGTATTACGTAGGTGTATTAACAAAACGCCTGACTTATGCTAATTGAACTTTTATGAGGTTGATGGCAATTAATGCATTTTGAAGTAAAAGTTGGCCACGCGCCAAACTAGTGCGCGTGTGTGCATATATTTATTTATATCACCCACTCCCAATGAACGTTAACTGCTATGACACCCACTTAGTAAAGTAAGGTTGGCGAGGCATAATATGTGTGTGATGGTCATTGTAGTCTAGTTTCACTCACTGAGAAACGCTTATGCAACTTCCTTATGATTACTCATCAAACTTTGCTTTTGAAGGTCCTTAAGTTCAATATTGGAGATTGCTTTAAGCGGTTCTATGCATTTGGAGAGCCACATAGGTGTTTATAGTTTGGGTTTCCTAATTCGATAAAGTCCAGGGTTAATAATATTTAATCTATCTAAAATGTCCGTTTCCAATATACCTTTTAAGATCCGGTTGTTAAATTTCACTTTATTTATGATAATATATTACCAGGGCAGTATTATATACGCGTGTTGCGGATTTATAAACCAACAAGTCCTGACGCATGTTCAGTAATCTCTATGTCAAGGTCACCTCAATGATGTAGACAGAAAACAGACGTATGGCGTGGAACACATTTGTTTTGGTTGTGTGTCATTGATACAAAGCACAATCATCAAAATACAGTGAAAGGTTTGTTAAATAATGCAGGGACTATTGATTGGTGCCTGGCTGAGAGTCTCTGACCTCACGACCACACCTGCTCCCTAAGGGACAAGTATCACGGCCGCACCTTCTGATCTGTCTGAGTGAAAATGAGATATCTTTGTTCATCTATGACAGCGTTGTGCACTCCACTAACGTCGGCCAAAAATTTATCAATAATTTCACCACAAGTCGTCATTGAAACTGGTTTTGGTGGCGATTTTGGTTACATACTAGCTGTTTAATTGGTAAGGAGCCAGATATTTAATGATCGCTCTACATGATCACTTCATAGTGGGTGGAAAGAATTAATGAACTACATTGGCTTTTCAATAAATACATATATTGGGGAATCATTTTTTTGTTGGGGACGAGGGGACGAGGGGGGGGGGGGCTGATGACAGTTTGTCTGAAAGAACACTTATTTAGCAAAAGAATATTCTTGAATAACGATTATCAATGAAGCTCATCAACTACTTGAACTGAATGAAATCTCGACTAATGGAAATTTGTAAATTTATGTTCCCGTTTGTTATTTTTCCATTTTAATACTAGTAGCTATTCGGCCCGTAGAAATTGTTCTGTTCACTCAATTCGATCTTGGATAGTCATTTTACTCCCATGAAATAAAGTGATGAGAAAGTGGCATAGGTAACATTTTCACAAAATCAACACACATGGTCTAGAATAGACAGGTATTCTCTGGGTACCATTAGCCGTTTTAATTGCGCTACTCTGCGCAAATCTAGAATTACAGCCTTATTAGATCCAGAGGAACTTTATCACGGCGGTTGAGTTTAATTTATTAATTATCTTTTACTTGCGTTATTCCTTTATGATGATTGAGATCGATTAGAGACAGGTAAGTCTCGACGTTCCTGAGTCAATGTTGACAGAAGTGGATGCCTGTCAATTCATCCAACCAGTATGTTGTGTGGAGACGTGAGGGGGAATTTTAAATTCTGTATTTAGTCCATTTTAAGATGAAGTTTTTTCTCTCACAACAGGATTTTGTTCGCATAAATAATTGAGAACCTTTTTCCTTTTACACAAATCTTAGACGAATTTATTTCACAACAACATAAAGCGATAAGGAGCAGCTCGAAGCGAATATATGTAGGATTCAAGATAGAAATCCCCCCTCCTGATTCACCTTTTTTCTCCTAATTAGTATGTGGTATTAAGAAAACAGTGCAGTCCTTCGTTCAAATATGTTATGTTACTTTGAGTTATTGAGCAATGGAGCAGATTCCGTTCTACTCAAAGCTGATTTTACTTGGTTTCCTTTCAGTCACCTACGGGATGCTGGGGCTCGCCAGCCTTCTCCTTTTAGCTCCTTCATGGGCATTTTGCAGTGAAATTGGAAAGTCAGACCTGACATCTCAGGAACGTCAATGGCTAATCAATTTCCATCACAGCCAAAGAGAACAAGTTAAACCACCTGCATCTAACATGATGTATATGGTAATTAATCAATTTTTATTTAGAATTGCTCGCGCTTTTACAGAATTACTCCATGGACCTCGAAGATCTGGCTGCTTCAATGTTGTCTTCCTGCAAAATTTTGGAGATAAATGGGACGAATATGGGAAATTACAGCTGGAATTTGGCCTTCAGTTTGAAGGAGACACCAAGTGTTAAGGAGTTTGCCTCTGCCTGGGCACACCAAAAACGACATTTTGAGAATAGTCCGAATGGAACTTGTTCTTACTGCGGAGAATACAAAAAGGCTAGTCCCTAAATGAAACCATTATTTAAAGAATTTGGTCTCAATTCGAAAATATTAATCGCTCATATGTTTGACTTTGAATGTTGGAGTCCATAGTAGCGACATTATTTCTCATACTGTTTTTGCCGGTTTATTTGGTAGTTTATATATTGATAGAGGTCCTAAAAAGAATATGTGACAGACTAGAATTTAACCTCTGTTCCCTATGCGGAGACTAGATATGTCAGCAGAGACATTTGAGGCCAGTGAAGGACATTCAGTTGGCCACTAGGGGGGAGACTTGGAGTTGGAATATTTATTTATTTATACCAAATGGCAGGTGTTTCAGTAGTTATCATTAACCCTTTAGCTGACCTCGGGTTTCGCATTGGGGGAGGACCATCCGTTCAATAACTTCAAATGCTCAATTTGTGCTAGTTATAGGTAAGATAAATGGTAAGGTTGAATGAAGTATCGTAAGCCATAGTTGCATTCTCAACCTTAACATTACATTCAGGGTGTCTTTTGAGAAATATCATGGCACACACTCTTCCAAGATGATTACTGCTGAAAAAATGTTTTTTTCGTTGAGAGATCTCCGTAAATCATACCATCAGAGGTATGAATGATATTATGTATTTTATCTAGGAAATAAAATGAGATATTATATTTTATAACGATGAAGAAATAAGAGTGTGGTGGCCTTGGGGAAAGCAATTTCTACAATTTAAAAGAGGGAGCTTAGAGATAACAGAATCAAGCTGGCTTTTAGTCTTTCAACGTCGTATCACTTCTAATGATGTGGCAACACACTTGCCCAGGTGACAGCTTAGTGTCAGTCCGCTTGGTGCCTCGAGAGTACTTGTGAAGAGCATGAGAAAAAACATGCCTTCTTTAAAAATGCCTCGGAACTATATTACTCAGTGCCTACACTAGCTGTTCTCTTACAATCTGGTGATCCTGAGTCGATTACTGACAGGTCAATCCTCATTTGAGATGGTAGATGCCCTGAATATTTGGTTTTCATTTTCCTTTATGAAATTTTGTTTGTTAGTATTTTTCCCAATGTCAAAGTCTTCCAAACGCTTACTTTCCTTATGTTTATAATCTTAGATTGTCTGGGCTACCAGTAGGGAGATGGGCTGTGCTCGGAGAGATTGTGAAAATTCCTCAGTTCTGCTTTGCATTTATTTTCCAGGGTAAGTTCTTTCCTATTCTTTGATAAGACACTCCTATCTGTTGGTTCAAAGCTGTAGCAGATCTGCAAATAATAGTTAAGTTATGTTTTTCTCCGGATTTAATGTACTAATCTGTTGAATTTTCAGTGGAAATTGGCAAACCGATTCTCCCTATCTCCAAGGTTCAAGTTGTTCCGGCTGTGGAATCAATGTGACATGCACTCAAAGTCAATGCGATCTTAATCCACAATCCAGAAATCGTCTTGGAGTCATGTTCTGGGGTTTTGTAGCCGCATTCTTCTTCACGTTCTTTGACTAAGAAGAAATTTCTCAAGTTCTAACCATTTTAATATAAAGTATGAAATGCCAAATTAAAAGGATTTTTATATTTATAATAAGTTGCACGATGAATGTGTAAGAGTATGCTTACATGTAATTATAGGATGCCAAAATCATACCTTGAAAAACCCAGGCTCTCCCTGCCCTGGAATGAACTACTCATATTTCGCAAGTAGTCTCTAGTCGCCTATTATTCCTACAAGATGTCGAACCCACTATAATCTTGACATATTAGGAGTTAGTCTGAAAAATTGCCCCCAGTCGGTAGTAGTTTTACTCTCATCATAAATCACAAAGGCAGAATTGCTTCAAGGAGACCTCGTTAAGTTTGTACTATCCAAGGTATTTATGACATATCAAATGCCAGACGTTTTGATAGCTATCATTAGCCCTTTAGTTGACTTAGGGCTTCACAGAGGGAAGAAACATCAAAGTGAAAAAAGTCGATATTGAGGTGGGGGGGGGGGCAGGAGAGTGTTTCAAAGATGTAAAAGAGACCGATACAAAGGAAGAAAAAAGGTGAGATGAGTACTGTTGAAGTGGTCGAATATGACATACAGTGGGGTGATGGTAGTTTGAAGTCCGAAGTCAGCTGCCAGGTAATAGACTTTTTGCCGTCTGAGTATATGTTCACCAGGGTGCACCACATGGAGGCAAGCCTATCGCACACCCTTATTTGTGACATCGTACATAGGCTATCATCGCACGATGCGGAGGTGGGGTTTAAAAATTCTAATATGCGGAGGAAAATTGATTTCGAGTAGAATTAGGAAAAGTTCAGATGTAGAAAGAAAGATTAATGGGATCGCCACGTTTATAAGGTCAGTGAAATTTACATCTTTGATTTACTCAGTGATAATTTACTAACCATAAAACCTCTTTGCTTGGTATCCCAAATAGAAAAGACTGGCGAGTGTCTAGTTACGTCCATTAATTAAGGTACATAAAAGGCTACGTTTTGGAGGTCCGCTTCTAATAGTTGTGACTCAAAATATCGTTAGCTTTTTCTATGTAGCATATCAGTTTACAATTTCTGTTGTTTTTAACAAGGGCATTTCGATGGAGGGTAGAATTCCTACCAGTTGCATTTCGAACCTGGTTCATTATTAGATATTCATGCACTTCTGCCTCTAAGATATTCACATTCGGTAATAAAAGTGTTGCCAGTTTGACAACCCCCACCCTGCCAG